GAGCACCTCAAAGGATGCCGCGGCCGCACAGATTGATGCCTTCGTTCCGCAGAATCTGGTGCAGGTGATGTGGGCCTGTGGCACAGCAGGAGTCTCTGATAGAAATTCTCAAAGAGCCCATCGGTTCATTCCCCTCCCCCCCATATTGTACCTACTGTATGAATATGACTGAGGTGAGGGCAGTGGGCACACTTTAAACACACCCTCTCAAGTTCAAGGGGTCGAATGTTGATTCCAGTTCTGCAGGATACAAGCACGAGGCCTTCCTCCGTGGGGCCGCGCGCGTGGCCAAACGCACTGTGGAGGACTTCTCCTCGCAACATCAGTCCAACTTCCTGTGGGCATGCGCAAGGCAGGGGGGAGCATGAGAGGAGGGGCACTTGTCATGCGCGGAGCTTTGGGAGCGCGGCTTGCAAAGACAGGCTGGGCTTCAAAGAAGACGTTCAGCTCTTGCGCTGTCTCGCTGACGCGGCGATAAGGCGGCTGAAGGGTCGACCAGGTCTGAACTTGTGATGTGCGCAGGGAGTCGCACCACTTTAGTTCCGTATGCCGCGGCTCAGTCGACGTGGAAGCTCATGAGTCCCTGCGTGCCTGTCGCAGGAAGATGCACGAGGGCAGCCCACAGCATTTGTCGAACATTGCCTGGGCGGCTTGGCGACAAAGCAGTGCTGGTCGCAACATGATATATACATACGTGCAAATATACACTCTATATATATATATATATGTATATACATATATAGACATGTACTATATATGTGCAATTATATATATATATATTATATAGAGTATATATATATATATATGGTCAGCCCCCCCCATGATCCACACCTATGGTTTTCCTGTCTTCGTCTTTGTCTGATTTTCTGTTTTTTCACCGGAAAAATGCAGTAAAAACTGCACTGGAATACAACAAGCTCTATTATATTATCCTCTATAAAAACACTAGTGTTTTTATGTGCATTTTGCTTCTGAAACTTGTGTTTTGCGGCTCTATAAAATTTTAGAAGGGTAGCCATTTAGAAGCTTAAGGCTTTTCAGGGTTTTAGGTTTTAGGGGTTTGAAAAAATCTAGATGATCTGTGGAAGGCACCGGGGCTTCCCCAGACCATTTGCAATTTTGAAGATCCTTAAAAGGGGCAGCCCTTTTCAAATTTGAAGGGCTTTTTAAGGTATTTAAAGCCTTTCAAAATTTTCAAGATTTAAAGGATCTTAAAAGGCTTTAAAGCACTTAACAACCTCGAAACGTTTATCCCTTAAAAGTCTAAAATTCTTTAAAATTTAAAACGGGCAGCCGTTTAAAGTTAAGGAAGTTACGGATTTTAGAATTGAACATCCTAAAATCTTTAAACTTTAAAAGGACAGCCATTTACAACTGTAAGAATTTCAGGGTTTTACGGATTTTAAAAATTTTATATTGTCTGGGGAGGGCACCGGGGCTTCTCCAGACCATTGGCAACTTCAACAATCTCTAAAATCCGCAAAGGGCAGCCACTTAAATACGTAAGCAATTTAAGGTCTTTAAAAGGCTTAAACGGCTTAAAACCTTCATAATCCTGAGAATGCTTAAACAGAAGCTTAAAGATTTTTATAAGATTTTAAGAATTTTTAATGTTTAGGTGGGTCTGGGGAAGCCCCAATGCCTTCCCCAGATCATGTAAACTTACAAAAACCCTCAAACCCCTTAACCCTAAAATCCAACCCCGAAACCCTTAGCTCTAAACCCTAAGCACCAGACCCTAAACACTAACCCAAAAACTTAACACTAAGCCCTTAGCACAAACCCCAAGCACTTAACATGAAACCCTAAACACTTAAGCACTAGACCCTAAACACGAAACCCTAAACACTCAAACACTACACCCTAAAAACTAAACCCTGAACATTACACACTAAACCCTACACACTAAACCCTGAACACTAGTAAACATCCTTGAAACCCTAAATCCAAAAAAACAAACCCGAAACCCTTAACACTAAACCCTAAACCCTCAGCACTAGACCCTAAACACTAACCCTAAAAACTTAACACTAGGCCCACAAACCCCAAACACTTGACACGAAACCCTAAACACTTAAGCACTACTAAACCCTAAACACTCAGCACCAGACCCTAAACACTAACCCTAAAAACTTAACACTAAGCCCTTAGCACAAACCCCAAACACTTAACAGGAAACCCTAAACACCTAAGCACCCCTAAAAACTAAACCCTAAACATTACACACTAAACCCTACACACTAAACCCTTAACCCAAAAAAAAGCCGAAACCCTTAGCACTGAACCCTAAACACCAGCGTAAACACTAACCCTAAAAGCTTAACACTACGCCCTTAGCACGAACCCCAAACACTGAACACGAAACCCTAAACACTTAAGCACTAAACCCTTACTAAACACTAAACCCTAAACACTTAAACACTACACCCTACAAACTAAACCCTAACCATTACACACTAAACCCTACACACTAAACCCTAAAGCCTAAACAGAAGGATTTTTTAAGTTGTCAATGGTCTGGGGCAGCCCCGGTGCCTTCCCCAGATCATTTAAATTTGTAAAAATCCTTAAAACCCTTAACCTAAAACCCAAACCCGAAACCCTCAACACTAAACCCTAAACACTAACCCTAAAAACTTAACACTAAGCCCTTAGCACAAACCCCAAACACTTAGCACGAAACCCTAAACACTTAAGCACTTAACCCAAAAACTAAACCTTAAACATTTCAAACTAAACCCTAAACATTAGACACTAAACCCTAAACCCTAAACAGTAAACCCCAAGGCCAGAACCTCGAGCCCTACTAAATCTAAACCTGAAACCAAAAACCCGTCGGGGTTTCAGATGCTTACTGTTTGGATTTCAGAGTTTAGGGTTTTATTTGGGTTTTAGCCGAGCCGCTTGACCCTAAACCCTAAAACCTAAACTTAACACTCAACCCTAAACACAAAACACTAAACCCTGAAACCTACACACTAAACCCTAAACACTAGATTTCCAGAAAAAATCTGGAGTACCCGGGCCCCGGACTCCAGACTCCAGATTTCCAGAAAAAATCTGGAGTACCCGGGCCCCGGACTCCAGACTCCAGATTTCCAGAAAAAATCTGGAGTACCCGCGCCCCGGACTCCAGACTCCAGATTTCCAGAAAAAATCTGGAGTACCCGGCCCCGGACTCCAGACTCCAGATTTCCAGAAAAAATCTGGAGTACCCGGGCCCCGGACTCCAGACTCCAGATTTCCAGAAAAAATCTGGAGTACCCGCGCCCCGGACTCCAGACTCCAGATTTCAGAAAAAATCTGGAGTACCCGGGCCCCGGACTCCAGACTCCAGATTTCCAGAAAAAATCTGGAGTACCCGGGCCCCGGACTCCAGACTCCAGATTTCCAGAAAAAATCTGGAGTACCCGGGCCCCGGACTCCAGACTCCAGATTTCCAGAAAAAATCTGGAGTACCCGGGCCCCGGACTCCAGACTCCAGATTTCCAGAAAAAATCTGGAGTACCCGGGCCCCGGACTCCAGACTCCAGATTTCCAGAAAAAATCTGGAGTACCCGGGCCCCGGACTCCAGACTCCAGATTTCCAGAAAAAATCTGGAGTACCGGGGCCCCAGACTCCAGACTCCAGATTTCCAGAAAAAATCTGGAGTACTCGCGGCCCCAGACTCCAGATTACAGACTCCAGAATCTGGAGTCCAGAGTCCCGGTACTCCAGATTTTTTTTGGAAATCTGGAGTCTGGAGTCTGGAGGTACTCCAGATTTTTTCTGGAAATCTGGAGTCTGGAGTCTGGGGGTACGGAAATCTGGAGTCTGGAGTCTGGGGGTACTCCAGATTTTTTCTGGAAATCTGGAGTCTGGAGTCCGGGGCCCGGGTACTCCAGATTTTTTCTGGAAATCTGGAGTCTGGAGTCCCCCCCCCTCCCAAAACCCCCTTCCCGAGGCCAAATGTGTGGATCATGGGGGGGGGGGGGCGAGCATATATATATTATATATATATATATATATATATTATTGTATATATATATATAACATCCCCAGGGCCTACCTAACCCTAAACCCTAAACCCTAAACCCTACACCCTAAACCCTAAACCCTAAACCCTAAACCCTAAACCCCTAAACCCTAAACCCCTAAACCCTAAACCCCTAAACCCCTAAACCCCTAAACCCCTAAACCCCTAAACCCCTAAACCCTAAACCCCCTAAGCCAGGGCCCTGGCCCGGCGAGGAAGCCTACTCGACCATGACCTCGGCCCCCCCCGGAGCTTCGGGGACTTAGGGACTTTAGGGTTTGGGGGGTTAGGGTTTAGGGTTTAGGGTTCAGGGTTTGGGGTTTGGGGATTTATGGTTTGGGGTTTAGGGATTTATGGGTTGGGGTGTAGGGTTTAGGGTTCAGGGTTTAGGGATTTCGGGTTGGGAGTGTAGAGTTTAGGGTTTAGAGGGCACGCTATTCTAGCGGGGGGTCGGAGTTTCGGGTTCAAGGGCTTTTGTAGGACGGTAGAGGGTTCATGGAGACTTTGGAGCAGTGTACGTAGGGGGGGGGGGCAAGGAAGGCTAGACGCCTGGACGCACCCTGGCAGATCGTAAGCCCGAAGCCCCCACACCCGAAGCCCTGGAATCTGCTGCAGAAAGCTGTCCGGACTACCATAGGGCATTCGCCAGCGTCCGTTTCCCATTCGGACGGGGGGGAGGTGTGGCTCAAAGGTCCTGAAATGTAGGGGCTAAAACGTAGAAAACACAAAACCCACAAAAGCACCCCCCAAAACCCTGAACCCTGAAAAGGGGTCTTCGGTGGACTACAACGTCCTTGAGAAAGAGGGGGCCCAACAAAAGGGGAGGGAGGGAAGTACCCAGAGAGAACTTGGGGAACTCTAAGCCCTAAACCTTAAACCCTAAACCCTCGAAACCCTGAACCCAATTTAGGAAGTTTGTTCTTTAGGGTTTAGAGGTTGCTTAGGCAAATTTGGTACTTAGGGGGCTTTTGGGGGTTTAGGGTCTGTAGGGCTTTGGGCGTTCAGCATTGGGAACTCCAAAGGGTGCGCAGTGAAAGGGCCCCAGGTTCCTAAACCCTAAACCCTAAACCCTAAACCCTAAACCCTAAACCCTAAACCCTAAACCCTAAACCCTAAACCCTAAACCATCCCCCGATTCTCAGGTGGGTGCGGGCGCTTCGTCCAGCGCATCGCCAACACCCTGAGGGGGTTTAGGGTTTAGGGTTTAGGGTTTAGGGTTTATAAGTTTAGGGCTTTGGGTTTAGGGTTTAGGGTTCAGGGTTTGCGGCTTTGGGGTCTTAAGGCTTCCCATTTAGGACAGTGCGGGCTTGACGTCAGTGCTTCTTTCACGATATTTCGGGGTAGGGGGTACCCTTTTTGGGGCGTCCCCTTAAGGGGGGTTTAGGATTTAGGGTTTAGGGTTTAGGGTTTAGTGTTTAGGGTTTAGGGTTTAGGGTTTAGGGTTTAGGGTTTAGGGTTTAGGGTTTAGGGTTTAGGGGATTCTATTTGGGTATAAAGGGGGTACCCCTATTTTAGGAAATACCCATTTGTGAGTACCATGCCACGAAACCCACTAGCACCAGCATGTCGCCGTTCTTGCCTGTGACATGATGCTGCTAAGGATGCTGTTGATTCACTATTGACGGGGGCGAGCGTTCCGAAGGGGCTTTCGAATACGTAGCCTGGGGTTGAGGGTTGAGGGATTCTTGTTCCCTACACCCCACTCCCCAAACCCTAAACTTAAAACCTACACCCTAAACCCTGAACCTAAACCCTAAACCCTAAACCCTAGACCCTAGACCCTAGACCCTAAACCCTAAACCCTAAACCCTAAACCCTAAACCCTAAACCCTAAACCCTAAACCCTAAACCCTAAACCCTAAACCCTAAACCCTAAACCCCAAACCAAACCCTAAACCAATCCAAGATGGGCTTCCGAGGCGCCCCAATGAGCGCCAGCTCCATACCGGGCTCCCTCTTCGGCTCGTCGATGTTGGGAGTTGGCCTAGGGTTTAGGGTTTAGGGTTTAGGGTTTAGGGTTTAGGGTTTAGGGTTTAGGGTTTAGGGTTTAGGGTTTAGGGTTTAGGGTTTAGGGTTTAGGGTTTAGGGTTTAGGGTTTAGGGTTTAGTGTTTAGGGGCGCCGCGGGCTTTGAGGCTGAGGCGGTTTAGCGTTTGGGGTGACGGGCAGTGACAGGTCTCGGATTTGGAGATGTACGAGGATCTTTCCAGGTCCCTCATTTCACCTTAAAAGGGGTCACAGTCGCATCGGCTAGCTTGCCAGTGTGCTGGGCCTTTGTGTCATGAGAAGCACAGAACCCCAAACCTTCGACCCTAAACCCTAAACCCTAAACTGGCCCTAAACCCTATTCCTCCCAACTCCAACTCGACAGTGCACAAGGGCGGTTGTGACGATTACCGTCATGAGGCAACCTACGTCATAGCCTTTGTTCAGGCACACAACCATTTCTGAACATTCAGGTTGACCTTGAACCCTGAACCCTGAACCCTGAACCCTAAACCCTAAACCCTAAACCCTAAACCCTAAACCCTAAACCCTAAGCCCACAACAGCCTGGATGAGTCCAGGCCTTACGAAGAGAGGTGGCTTTGGGGGACCGTCGGAGAGGGGGGCCCTTCATCCTCCTGCCCTGTATACCCAAAAATTGCCCCCCTGTAGAAAAACCAGGGGGGTCTTCCTTATAAGGGCCCCTCCTCTAGTACCTAAACCCTAAACCCTAAACCCTAAACCCTAAACCCTAGACCCTAAACCCTAAACCCTAAACCCTGTTTGAATCCTCCAGGGTTTCAGGGCCGGATGAGGCCTCCAAGCCTGAAGCTCTGCCTTGCCTGAGACCCTTTCAACCCCCAAGCTCCGCGCACGAAAAGTCAAAATCAGGTCTATCCCCACGGCTTAGGATTTAGGGTTTAGGGGTTTAGGGTTTAGGGGTTTAGGGGTTTAGGGTTTAGGGCTTAGGGCTTAGGGTTTAGGGTTTGGGGTCCCCAGCCTGAGGAAGTCCTTGGCGTAGTACTTGTCCTCCGAGAAGAACCTCGAGCTTCAGGACTTTGGGGTTGAAGGCTCACGGTTTTGGGCTCGAATCTTCGGGCGGTCGATGGCTTCGCGGGTTTTTTGCAGTGTTTCCAGGTTTCGGGGCAGTTTTAGGGTTTAGGGTTTAGGGTTTAGGGCTTGGGCTTAGGATTTAGGGCTTCGGGTTCAGGGTTCAGGGGATTTCCGATAAGAGCTTGCATGTCAGACGTCAGAGTCCAGGGCTGAAGACATCGGTGTATTGAGGCATGGAGGCTTGGAGGGGTCGGGTGGCAGAACTCTTCGGATTTGACACCCTAAACCCTGAACCCTGAACCCTAAACCCTAAACCCTAAACCCTAAACCCTAAACCCTAAACCCTAAACCCTAAACCCTAGAACCCTGGAACCCTGAAACCCAAACACAAGGCGCTTGGAGGCCGAGAGATGCCCCCTACCTTTGGGGGGGCTGCTCTGGGAGAGCCTCGGGCCCCGAAGTTCCCGCATCGACCCTCGACTCACGGGTTCTTTGGCAGGGAAGTAGGAAAGTGGGGAAGTAGGGAAGTCGGGAAGTAGGGAAGTAGGGACGTAGGGACGTAGGGACGTAGGGACGTAGGGAAGTCGGGAAGTCGGGAAGTCGGGAAGTAGGGAAGTAGGGTTTTAGGGTTTTAGGGTTCGGGGCTTAGGGCTTGCGTTTAGGGCTTAGGGCTTTAGGGCTTTAGGGCTTCAGGGCTTCAGGGCTTCAGGGCCTTAGTGCTTTAGGGCTTTAGGGCTTCAGGGCTTTAGGGCGTTGGGTTTAGGGTTTCGGGTCTCGGGTTATGGGGTTTTGGGTGTTTGGGTGATAGGGTGCCAGGGTGTTAGGCCTGGTCTCCGAACGAAGCCCTTCGCCTTAAAAGTTAAAAGGGCTATGGAGGGCCTAACTTTCTGGACTCCGCCTGTTCGGAACTGGTCAATTTAGGAATCTAGATAAACCCTAAACCCTGAAACCCCAACTCTAAACCCTGATACCTAAACCCTAAGCCCTAAGCCCTAAGCCCTAAGCCCTAAGCCCTAAACCCTAAACCCTAAACCCTAAACCCTAAACCCTAAACCCTAAACCCTAAACCCTAAACCCTAAACCCTAAACCCTAAACCCTAAACCCTACACTAAAGGCCAAACCGGACACAGGGCAGCTGGGCTCCCGACTCTGCCTCCACGTTGTTCGCCCTGGGATTGGGTTTGGGGGTTGGGGGTTTAGGGTTTAGGGTTTAGGGTTTAGGGTTTAGGGTTTAGGGTTTCGGGTTTAGGGTTTAGGTTTTAGGGTTTCGGGTTTAGGGTTTAGGGTTTAGGGTTTAGACCAACACCTGGCACGATAAGCCCTGCCCCTGAAGCTCTGAACTCCAAAAATCTAAAACCCTCTAGCAACGCTACCAACTTCGGAAAGAAACCCCCAACCACAAACAAGAATCACCAAAGGCCATAAAAGGCCTAAACCCTACAGACCTTCAACTTCAACCCTCTAACCAGCCCCTACTTTGTAGCCCAGCAAGAAAACTTTGTACTGAGGGTGCCCTGTCGGGGTCTGTTTCTTCTAGAAGGGAACCCACAACCCAGACAGGGCAAAAACCCCTAAACCCTAAACCCTGAACACCCGAAACCCGAAACCCGAAACCCTAAAAAAGGGTACCACCAGCAACTCAGCATCCCAACCCCGAGCCCTGAACCCTAAACCCCCCCCAAGCCCTGCGCCCTACGCCCTGCGCCCCACGCCCTAAGCCCTAAGCCCTAAGCCCTAAACCCTAAACCCTAAACCCTAAACCCTAAACCCTAAACCCTAAACCCTAAACCAGAAGCCCTAAGCCCTAAACCCTAAACCCTAAACCCTAAACCTTGGGATGCTCGCCCGTATACAACAGTCCTTGATGGGGACTATACTCGGGGATACTAGAATCACTCTTGAGACTGTTGGAATAAGGGGGAACATCCCAAAGCCACACCCTAAACCTCCCTGAACCCTGAACCCTGAACCCTGAACCCTGAACCCTAAACCCTGAACCCTAAACCCTAAACCCTAAACCCCCTCATCCACCCCTTGAACCCCCCCTGCCGCCGCGAGGCCCGAATCTGCGCCCGTGCAGCGCCTTCTTCGCCTTCGAGGCGCCCTGCCAGTCGCGGCCGGGTTCAGGGCATAGGGGGTTTAGGGTTTAGGGTTTGGGGTTGAGGGTTTAGGGTTTAGAGTTTAGGGTTTAGGGTTTAGGGTTTGGGGTTTAGGGTTTGGGGTTTAGGGTTTGGGGTTTGGGGTTTAGGTTTGGAGTTTAGGGTTTGGGTTTGGGATTTAGGGTTTGGGGTTGAGGGTTTCAGGGTTTTCAGGGTTTCAGGGGTTAGGGGTTAGGGGTTAGGGCTTGTGGTTCACGGATAAGGGGACACGGGGCGTGATGGTCCGCTTAACCATCGAACATCTATGTTTCAAGTCCATGGCGTGGGGGCACGTCGATGGCCACCGACCCCTCGTGCAGCGACCTGCGTGGAGAGGGTTTTCCGGCCCTTCGGCCCTTCTACCCCTTCGAGCATCCGCCTCTTGACCAACTGAAGCCCGGCCAAGCTGACGGAAGGAAGGTGCGGAGCCTGCAAGCCACGCACAACCTGCGCCTCGGAGATGTGCACAAGCATCCTCGATGTCCGTCGCCGTCCCTGCCTTCCCATCAAGGCTCTTCTCGAGGCCCGGAGCACGAATCTGGAAAGTACCCATGTATCACTTTTCCCTATACGACATGGCTAGATAAACTTCAACAAAGGACACGCCATGAGCCCAAACCCCAAACCCCACACCCTAAACCCTAAACCCCAAACCCCAGACCCTAAATCCTAAACCCCAAACCCTAAACCCTAGACCCTAAACCCTAAACCCTAAACCCCAAACCCCAGACCCTAAATCCTAAACCCCAAACCCTAAACCCTAAACCCTAAACCCCAAACCCTAATGCCCGGCCAGCACTCCCAAGCCCTGAAGCCCCCAACGCCAAACAGCTCCACCTCGATGTTGGCAAACTCAATGAAGGCGTAACCTTGGCGACAGGGAGGGTTTAGGGTTTAGGGTTTAGGGTTTAGGGTTTAGGGTTTAGGGTTTAGGGTTTAGGGTTTAGGGTTTAGGGTTTAGGGTTTAGGGTTTAGGGTTTAGGGTTTAGGGGTTAGGGGTTAGGGTTTAGGGTTTAGGGTTTAGGGTTTAGGGATTAGGTTAGGGGTTAGGGTTTAGGGTTTAGGGCTTAGGGTTCAGGATTAGGGTTGAGGATTGTAGGTTTAGGATTAGGGTTGAGGGTTTGCGTGAGGCAGGAAGTCCCGCAGGGCCGTTATTGTCGCGCCACTTGAACCGTAAATAAGCAGACGCCTGTTCCACGTTACCATCAATGATGTTTCTGGTCGTGCAGGTCAGTTGGTCCACACACTCTATGTTAAGGCCAACGACCTTTGCTTTCGCAGTAGGCCACATTGGTTCTTGAGCGAAGACATTCATAAGGGTACGGAGTTCTTAGATGTACGTCCCTATACTACTCTCCGGAGGAGATGCAGGAGTATGTGGACTTACCCCTTTGTACCTAGCAATGACTGTGGCTCCTGCTCTGCTGACAGCTCAGCTTGAGGTTTACTTGAGGGATGAGGTGTTTGGGCATAGAGTTCGGGGCCTTGGGGACCCTAACCCCCCCACGTCAAAATCTGCAGCCTATGAACCCTGACCCCATGCTCTTGGAGGGCTTCGTTGGCTCGGACTAGGACTCAGGGGATTTGGGGTGTCTGCATGTCTGAGAGATACGCAGTGCTCTGGAACTTTGCCCTAAACCCAAAAGCCTACACCCTAAACCCAAAACCCAGTAGCCATAAGGAAAAGAAGCGGGTAGTTCTCGAAGTTAGGGTCCCTTTGTGGGTGCGTGTAAGGCTGCATCGTAAACTGAGGACCCTAAACGGGACCCGAATTTAGAAAACTACCCTGAACCCTGAACCCTAAACCCTAAACCCTAAACCCTAAACCCTAAACCCTAAACCCTAAACCCTAAACTTGAACCCAGTAGCCATAAGTCCCTCATGCTTTACAAAAGAAGTGAAGACCTAGAAGGGACCCTTAATCTTATTCCTCTATACTCAACCCCTGTTCCCCTAGGAAGAAAAAAGGATCCTTTTTGCTTATATATAAGAAAGCCCATAACCCAAAAAGTAAAAAGGATCCCTAACACTGATTTAGTATATAACCTTATGTAGTCCCTATATACCTAAGTAGCCCCTAAATAACCCCCCACATAACCCCCAAAGTCTTTTGACAAGTGGAGGCAGGCTCCCCCACCGAAGCCGGGCGTCGTAGGATCCACGGGGCCAGAGGCCCCTCCACCCTGGAAGGATGTTTGGGTGTTTAGGGTTTGGGGTGTAGGGTGCACGGTTTAGGGTTTCGGGTTTCGGGTTTAGGGATGAGGGCTTGGGGTTTAAGGGTTAGGGCTGAGGGTTTAGGGATAGCGTTTGGGGTTAAGGGTTTAGGGTTTAGGGATAGGGCTTAGGGGTTCAGGGTTTAGGGATGACAGAATATAGAATACCTAATTTCCAAGCCCTAAACCCTAAACCCTACTGCTTAGGGCTTTGGGCTTAGGGTTTAGCCTGTCTTGAAATCTCCGAGCTTCTAATTCCAATCTTCAACCAAAACGCAATGGGAAGCTGAGCCGGCTCCTTTCGAAAGATGTCTATATAATGACATTCTCTTTTTTATGCTGACTTCAACTCGACATTAAACAGCAACGCCAGAGTCATTCTGTTTGTCACACGCCTGGCACAAACTTTGCCACAAGCGGAGCTTGAAAAACGCTTGCATGACTTCTTGGCGCCCACCTGTGTAGTTCTTAGTCGGCTTGTCGGGTAGTTCCCTTACTTGTAACCCTACCTACAAAACTGAGCTTCCTAAACCCTAAACCCTAAACCCGAGAACCTGAACCCTACGCCCTAAACCCTAGAACCCTAACCCTAGAACCCTAAACCCTAAACCTAAGCCCTAAACTGGTGTCACAGGTTTTCTAGTCATTTGGAACATGTCCTGCACCTTCAGGCCTAGGGCTGAGGGTTGAGGCTGAATTTCTTTGCAGGGTGCTTAAAGATCCTATGTAGACAGATCTATATGGAGCCTTATATGAGGGCACACAAAACAACCTGCTGGTTCTTAGTAGGGAATGAGGGAAGTCGGTACCCTGTAGAAGCCCTTGAAGGGTTTACATAAAGGGGACATATTTCAAGATGCCTAATTCCCTCACACAAGCAAGCAAACTAAAAAAACAAAACAATACAAAAAAACAACAAATAAATGCCCGTGGCTCTTCCGGAACGGGGCCGTAAATGCGAATGAGCCGAGGCGCTACGATCCCTAAGCCCTCAACTCAAAAAAGCTAAATACCCCTAAACCCTAACCCCCTAAACCCTACCAGACTACCCCAAAACCCTAAACACCCGGATCCCTAAGCCCAAAGCCACCCCTAAACCTGAACCCATGAACCACAGCCACAAGAGATCTCCACCCCCGAATGGGCGATTAGATCCCGAAACGCTGAAACCCAAAAACGCCCATGCCCTAAACAAAAGGAACCCGAGTCGTAAAGGCCCCAACCCCCCACCCCTCCAAAAGAAGGCCCTGAACCCGGGACCCTGAGACCCAACTATCCTCAAACTCCCCTAAACCTTGAACCCCAAACCCTAAACCATAGGTATCCCCTACACCCTAAACCCCAAACCGAAAAGAATAGATCCCTAGACCCTAAACCCTAAAACCTGCAAGACCTTGACCTTTGTTGAGGGTGGCACGCCGCCGCCGCCCCCCACACCGCCAGGCTGGGCAGAGGGCTGGGGCTTTAGGGGCATTCCGTGTTTTGGGTTTGGTTTAGGGTTTGGGGTTGCGGGTTTAGGGTTTAGATGGTTCAGGGTTGAAGAGTATTTAGGGTTTATGGTTCAGGGGTATGTGGGTTTAGGGTATTTAGGTTTCGGGCTTGCGGGGCATTTAGGGTTTAGAGCTTAGGGGCATGTAGGGTCCAGGGGCTTTTTGGGGGTTGAGTTCAAGCTTTAGGGCTGAGAAATTCTGAAGTCCATGTGCCGCTTGGATCTTATGGAACCCTAAACCCTAAACCCTAAACCCTAAACCCTAAACCCTAAACCCTAAACCCTAAACCCTAAACCCTAAACCCTAAACCCTAAACCCTTAGGACAGTTGAGTGGCCCGGGCTTAGGGCACAGCGCTCAGGGCTTGGGGCTTAGGGCTCCGAGCCCATGATGGCTCTGCCCCCTAGATCCGAACCCTTAACACCCTGGGTTTAGGGTTTAGGGTTTAGGGTTTAGGGTTTAGGGTTTAGGGTTTAGGGTTTAGGGTTTAGGGTTTAGGGTTTAGGGTTTAGGGTTTAGGGTTTAGGGTTTAGGTTAGGGTTTAGGGTTTAGGGTTTAGGGTTTAGGGTTTAGGGTTTAGGGTTTAGGGTTTAGGGTTTAGGGTTTAGGGTTTAGGGTTTAGGGTTTAGGACTTGATCAAAAATCAAGACAGCCGAGTGGTTTATCAGGGAGCCTAACCCTTACAAAAAAGACAAGGAAAGGGGCATCATGGTAGAGCGCTACGTAGGGCCTCTATAATTTATGGCCCCCTGTTTTGGAGTGCCCTACATGTAAGGCTCCGCAGCCAAACGAAGCCCAGAACGGAACATAATTTAGAGAACCCCCCCCCCCACACACCAACAAAGCAACAACACGTATACCGCTGAAGGGCAGAACTGGGGGTCCTTGAGATTCTGGCTCCATCCTTGGGGTAGGTTTTCGAAGGTCCCGCAACAGCATTGAGACTCCTTACTCTAGCAACCCAATGGGATGTACATGACCTCATGAAGTCCCCAAACTCTAAAGCACAAAGAAACCGAACCCCGCACCCGTGAACCTCTGAATTCCAAACACTACACCCCCCAAGCCCCCCATTTACTTCGAATGGATATTTTGGGTAGGTTGCGTCAACCGTAGACAGGCAAACAAGCAGATAATCCTACGCCCTAAACCCTAAACCCTAAACCCCAAACCCCAAACCCTAAACCCTAAGCCCTCAACCCTAAACCCTAAACCCTAAACCCTAAACCCTAAACCCTAAACCCCAACCCCATACACCCTAAATCCTCAACCCAACTGCAGCACCTTGGCGAGCTGGCCGCCAATCGGGACCAAGGCCATGGAGAGGTCCTGGCAAGGGTTTGTAGGGTTTAGGGTTTAGGGTTTCGGGTTTAGGGTTTAGGGTTTAGGGTTTAGGGTTTAGGGTTTAGGGTTTGGGGTTTGGGGTTTGGGGTTGGGGTTTGGGGTTTGGGGTTTGGGGTTTGGGGTTTGGGGTTTGGGGTTTGGGGTTTAGGGGTTTAGGGGTTTAGGGGTTTAGGGGTTTAGGGGTTGGGGTTTAGGGGTTGAGGGGTCAGGGAACTTAACATCTGCCCTTCTCACCCCAAGTACAGGCCGCGAAAGACAATCCAAGATGCCCGTGAATTCTAAGGGAAGTTACAGGGCTCCTTTCTTAGGGGCATGTAAGGGGCGCATAAGGGGTATATAAGGGGCATATATGGGGCATATAAGAGGTATGTAAGGGGTGTATAATGAATAGGGGTATATAGGGGCACATGTTAAGGGGCCATCGAGTCAATGCTTCCTTTGTGGCGTCTAGTGCATACAGTACAGCGGCGGCCCTTTCCGCTGCAAGTTTGGTTTCGGGCCGCGCCGCGGCATTCAGTGACCTCGAACCCTCAAACCCCACACGGTTAAGGGCTTAGGGTTTAGGGTTTAAGGTTCGGGTTTAGGGTTTAGGGTTTCGGGTTTGGGATTTAGGGTTTGGGGTTGGGCGTTTAGGGTTTCGGGGTTAGGGCGTTTAGGGTTCAGGGTTTCGGGTTTAGCACCTGAACCTCTAACTCCCTAGCGGCCCTGGCCTGGACCCATCAGAAAGCTCAAAGAACAACCAACTCCTGAGCGCCACCCAAACCCCTAAACTGTAAGCCTAAAATCCTAAACCCTTTAAACCCGTAGATGCTGAGCTTAAAATCCTAAACTCTAAGCCCCTACATGCTAAACCTCTAAACCTCTAAACCTCTAAACCTCTAAACCTCTAAACCTCCAAACCTCTAAACCTCCAAACCTCTAAACCTCTAAACCTCTGAACCTCTGAACCTCTGAACCTCTGAACCTCTAAGCCTCTAAACCTCTAAACCTCTAAACCCTATAAACCCTAAACCCCTAACCCTTAAGACCTTCAACCCTGGACCCTTGCACCCAGCCCTTAAACCCTAAACCCCTCAACCCCTAACCCCTAAACCCTGAACCCTTGAACCCCTAAACCTTAAACCCTTGAAAAAACCTAAACCTCCAAATCCCTCAACCCTGAACCCTAAACCCTAAACCCTCAAAACCCTGGTCTCCGGCAGCGTCGGCGCTGGCAGCGCCGCAGGGGCGGTGGGCTGAGGCAGGGGGCCGTTTTCTTTCGCACTTTTGCACCGGGGCTTCAAAAGCCTTCGGAGTTATAGTATAGGGGCCACTATAGTATGTAGGGTTTGGGGGTTCAGGGTTTGGGGTTCAGGGTTTGGTTTAGGGTGGGTGTTGCGAGCGACAGCTGTAAACCCCAAGCCCTGAGCCCGCCTAAGCCCTACATGCTTGAAACCCTGAACCCTATGCCCCAACCGCTATCTGGCGCCTTTCCGGCCCGAGGTGTGTGAGGTGAGAAGGCTACGACTGACAAAAATCAGATGAAGATTGCTACCCTTGCCAGGAACCCTAAACCCTAAACCCTAAAACCCCTCATCATAAGAACTTTTGGGGGGGGTTTGCTTGGGGTTGGAGGATGTCGGGCTGCAGTGGGGTCCTGGGGACTTTTGAAGCCTTGGTCAGGGTACGGGGCGCAGCTGGGTCCGTCACAATGCGAATCTGAAAAAGCACCCTCATATAGGGTTTAGGGTTTAGGGGTTAGGGTTAACCTACATAGGGACCATAAGGGAATACTAGTAGTTCTTCCGATCCCTATAATACACAACAATGGAACTTGCAGCACGGGTGACGTGCTGCGCAGCTTTCTGGCCGATGACTTCAGGTCTGGGGACCCCTCTGTCGACGTTCCACTCAGGAAGCCGCTGTGGTGTAGGAGGGAGCTCAGTGATCTCGTCCACACTGAGGACTCAATTCCCAACAGGCCATGGTCTGCGCCACAACAGAAAAAACTTGCTCCGATTCCCCGAAAAATTTGTCTTAGTAAGGAACCAGCTGAACGGATCCGGTTCTTCTTTGTAGTCTCCTCTTGAAAGCATCAATAAACCCTGCCGGGGGGGAGGGGGGGTCACCGAAACCCGAAACCCGAAGCCCGAAGCCCGAAACCCGAACCCGAAACCCGAAACCCGAAACCCGAAACCCTCAACCCTCAACCCTAAACCCTAAAGCCTAAACCCTAAACCCAACCTAAAAGCTGCCAGAGCCCATAACCCCGAAGGCCCCAAGGGTGCACAACACCTGGAACTCCTGGGCCCTTTAGGGCTTAGGGCTTAGGGCTTAGGGCTTAGGGCTTAGGGCTTAGGGCTTAGGGCTTAGGGCTTAGGGCCTAGGGCCTAGGGCTCAGGGCTCAGGGCTCAGGGCTCAGGGCTTAGGGCTTAGGGCTTAGGGCTTAGGGCTTCGGGCTTAGGGCTTATATAGGGTCTAGGGTTTAGCGTTTCGTGAACCCTAAGCCCTGAATCCTTGAAGGGCCTTGGGCTCCTCTGCGGCCGCGTTCGTGAGTGCCAGCGGGCCTGCGGCAGCTGCAGATTGGGGCACCAGGGCTGTCGGGGGGCTTTAGGGGGCAAAAGGGTCATGGGGTTGAGGCGGTTTGGGGGGTTTGGGGGTGTTTAGGGGTTTTGGGGGGGGGGGGGGGGGTGTAGGGCTTCGGTTGAGGACTGTGCTAGGAACTTTCCTGGGAACTTCTTGGGGCTCTCAGTTCTAGTGACACTGCATGGCCTCTACTCAAGCATGTCTTGGGGCGGCGATAGGGCTGGTGCATTCGGGGATATGGATTCAAGGTCTAAGGGGCTCAGGCTTCGGGTCTTGCAGTGTGGCGCTAGGGTGGCCGTAGGGTTTAGGGTTTAGGGTTTAGGGTTTAGGGTTTAGGGTTTAGGGTTTAGGGTTTAGGGTTTAGGGTTTAGGGTTTAGGGGCTCTGGACCCAAAAACCCTGAACCCCAACGTCGTCATCCTGACACCCCCATGAGACGTTAAGACCACTGCACGCCCGCCGAACCCAAACTCCCGAACGCAGCCCCCCCCCCCCCCCCCCAACCCCAAAAACATGAAATTATTTATGATGTTTATTACCATTATTATTATTATTATTACTATATGAAAAAATCAAAAAAAAACATAATGAAACATAATAATACGGAAACAATATGACCCCAAGGGTCTGTCCGATGTACCCCCCCCCCCCCAAAGAAGGGACCGCAAGCCGATCCTCAAGAAAGACCGCTTGGGATGTTCCCCCTTAGACTAACAGTCCTTAATGGGGATGATAGTACCACCGATTATAATCCCTATCAGAACTGTTAGTATAGGGGGGGAGAGCAAGAAGTTCGGAGCCTACGCTGGACGCCCCAACAAACCCTGAACCGAACAAAAAAAACCATGAAAGCCTAAGCAGAAACCTACAACTTAACACCCTAAACCCTCAAGCCACGGTAACTTGAAATTGCTTCGAAAGTTGAAAATGCAACTCCTTGAAACTTTCCCCGAACCTGAACCCTGAATTATTTCAATAAGCCTTAAACCCGAAACCCTAAACCCTAAACCCTACACCCTAAACCCTAAACCCTAAACCCTAGGGCCCTAGGGCCCTAGGGCCCTACGGTGGAGCCCCTGAAGTTGGCCCGCCTGCCGGCGCGGGCAGCGCGTTGTTCAGCGTTCCGGGCCCGCCCCCGCCGGAGCCGCCGCCTCGGGGCACCTGAAGGCGGAGTTCGGGGTTTGGGGTTTAAGGTTTAGGGTTTAGGGTTTAGGGTTTGGGGTTTGAGGTTTAGGGTTTAGGGTTTAGGGTTTGGGGTTTAGGGTTTGGGGTTTAGGGTTTGAGGTTTAGGGTTTGAGGTTTAGTGTTTGGGGTTTGAGGTTTGGGGTTTAGGGTTCGGGGTTCAGGGTTTAGGGTTTGGGGGTCGGGGGGTTGAGGGCTTAAGGATTCGGGTTCTGGGAGTGGGCTGAAGGTAGGGGGTATAAGGTTGTGGGATTGCGGTACAGCAGCTGAAGGCCGAATGAAGATGAAAAGGTTCCAGGTGCAGTCATAACAAAGGGGGGATTTAGGGTTCAGGGTTTGGGGGGGGTTAGGGTTTAGGGTTTGGGGTATCAGACTGTAACAGTCCGTCTACCGGCAGCTAAGCGCCAATCCTGAAACCCTCCAACGCGCATCTTAAAACTCCAAAGAACCTCAACGAGGGGGCTGTTTGTTGTTCAGGCAACGAGGGTACCTCCTGTATGTTTGTGCAGATTTCTCGGATCACTTTGGTGCCAAGCCCTAAACCCTAAACCCTAAACCCTAAATCCTAAACCCTAAACCCTACACCCTAAACCCTAAACCCTAAACCAAGGGTTCCAGGTGCCAAGCCTCGATGGAGACCACAGCGCCAAACTTCTCGGCTTCGAGGCGGATGTCCGCGCAGATCTCGGTGTACCTGCCGATATTCAAGAATTAGGGTTTAGGGTTTAGGGTTTAGGGTTCAGGGTTTAGGGTTTCGGGTTTAGGGTTTAGGGTTTACGGTTTGGGGCCTATTCCAACGTATATAACGATGTAATGGCACGGCCCATCAACTTGGGAGATACCAAATTGGCACCCTTGTTTTATTCCTAAGGTACTCTTGGGGCGGTTACAGATTCGGAGGGCTTACGCATGTGGGGTTTCGGGTTTAGGGTTCAGGGCTTAGAGGTTGCTTAGGTTGGGATCCCCCCCCCCTTATACTAACAATCCTTCATAGGGGTTCCAGTACCCCCATGTACCCCCTCTTCCCGTCCCTCTTCAGGACTGTTTGTATATGGGGGAACATCCCAATTCGGAGCCTATTGAGGAAAAAAACAAAAACAAGGCCCAGCTTGAGAGTTGAAGCTGCCAAGTCCCAGCTATGGAGTTGAAGCCGCTAAAGCTCCGTAAGCCCCTGAGCCTTAAGCCCCCCCAAGAAGGCCCAAGAATGCAGGTGGGGGTCTTCAATGCGAA